GTGTGTGTGTGTGTGTGTGTGTGTCTTTGTGAGGACCATTTTGAGCATAGATCTTACAGAGAGGACATTTTGACTTTTCAAAGAGCTGTTTGACTTGGTTTGACAATGAGAATGAGGTTTAGGTCGGTGATGCTTAAGGTAACTGTAGAGGGCTATAGGGAATGCATTATGTCAATGAGTGTCCTCACTAAGGTAGAAGACAAATAAAAGAATGTGTGTGTGGTCCAGGTATTACTCATGTTGTGGGGACCTAAATCTGTTTGGACACATTATGGGGACTTGTCTTCCTTAAGGGGACAGAAATCAAGTCTGCATAATATAAATTATTAGATCTTAAGCTGAAGATACGTTTTTAGGTTAAGGTTTAAATTTAGGTAAAGATTCAGGTTTAGGGATAGGCAAGTAGTAACTCTGAAGATGAGATTAAGTCAATATGAAACTCAACTCTCTCTCTCTCGCTACCTGTGTGTGTGTGTGTGTGTGTGTGTGTGGACAGTGAACTTTTAGCCGAAAAGGAAGCAATCCAGTCTGACCAATATGTGGTCGTCACAGCAGCGTCCAGTCGTGGATGTATTAACAGATTCTGTGGTTTTCATGCAATTACTCAAATTATTGCACAGCCACATGAAATACTGGCTTCTGATTGGCTGGCAAGAGCTTGTTAAAGTAACACTACAACTGGACGGTTGGTTCGCATATTTTCTCATTTACCTCTGATAACATAATGATGGTTTGTTTCATATTCAGTGGAGGTAAATGGGATTTAATTTTTAACTTGTGACGCTCACAGCAGTGACAATGACTTTTTAATGAATTTTTATTTTTCATACATTCTTGTAACAGTGTCAATTAAAAGTGTTATAGTTAGATATTTAAATCATGTTTCTGCAGAGACTCCTGCAATTTCTCAGTTATGTTAAAAACAACAAACAAAGTTACATTCATCCCTTTTTCCTGTGAAAATCTGGGCATATAAAAACCCAAACTGTTTTGCCAGACCGACCACTGAGGGTGAAGAAACACAAAGTGGAGTTTTTATAATCTGGATCAACAGGGCCCTTAAATGGTCCGTCACCATAGCAACAGTGCTCCTGCAGTGGTATAGTGGTGAAACTGACAACACTGTCTGAAGCAGCTGAGGACTTAAACAGCAGCTGTTATTCGACTGTGGAATGTGTCATGGTCGTGGTTTAGAGGTGATAATGCTCCAGAGTTTCATGTAAAACTAATTAGTCAACAGGAAGCAGCAGTGGTGCACAGTAAAAGTACATTCACTCCAATACTATGTGAAAATTACTAGTATTTTCATTTTATGCCACTTTCTACTTCTATTACAAAAATACTTTTCCTGCATTTCCTCTAAGCTGTAGCTGTAGTGACTGGTTCTTTTATTTAAGATTTTAAATACA